TTCTCCTAAAGTCCATGTTCAAGTTTAAGAACTTGAACATGTGCCCTGATGGCACAGTGGTTAAGCACTTACTGCTAAGAAAGGTTGGCTGTTTGAACGCATCAGCTACTCTATGGGAGAAAGATATGGCAGTCTGTTCCCATAAAGATTACAGCCTTGAAAGCTCCGTGAGGCAGTTGTACTCTGTCTTATAGGGTTGCTATGAGTTAGAATTGACTTGACAGCAAGGATTTATATATAAAACATACTATTGGAAGTGGTTTCATATTACGTAATTTTTCAGATTAAACCATTATCACTGACCTTCAGGTTGTCCTTCTTAATTTGCCTCACTGGCCATTTTTACCCACCCATAATCATTGATATCACAGCACATACAAAAAGAAAAATTTGTTCTGAGTTCTAGAATGAGTGGGAACTACTGCAGGTATTAATGGAATAATTAATGAAAAGCTATATCTTGGAGATTTTAGCTAATAGATATTACAGACTGATGGCCAGTATAGTACTGTCTAGGAGAACCTGTATTCTCCCTGCCCCACACCAGTCCTTTAAATTGATGGCCTGGGGTAGGGAGCATCAAAGTGTTTCAAAAGCTGTTATTTCTTGAGTTCTATTTAGAAGTTCGTTCTTCTTAAGTTGGGTTAATGTTAACTTTGTGTATTTTTAAACCCTGTTATTATGTTCTAATACAATTACAGTTGATCTATCTTCATGCAGATTTGACCCTTTAATCTTAATAAATGTCTCTACACATCTCTGGGAAAAAAAAAAAGATGTTTTTTCTTCTTGTATTTATATAAGAATAAAACTTCTTTTTCCCAAAATCCAGATGATAGAAGATAATAATTAATATGATATAGTTAGTGAAAATAATATAATGTTATTGTCGTTGTTACATGCTATAGAGTCATTTCTGACTCATGGTGACCCCCACGTGTGCTGATAGAACTGCTCCATAGGATTTAAAAAAAAATTTTATTATGGTTTGGGTGAAAATTTACAGAGCAAATACATTTTTTTGTACAGCAGTTCATACACATTTTGTTTCATGACATTGACTGTAATTCCCCACAATGTAAAGCTCTCTTCCTACTTCCTCCCTGTAATTACCTCTTCCCTATATCCTTCTTTCCTGCACATTCCTGCCCCCTGAGCTTTCTCTCCATGTAAATACTGCCTTCTATTTTCCCATGATTGACTGATGTAAGGAGTATATCTGCCTGGTATAAATGTTTGCCCTATATGCCCATCTATTGTTTGTCTGGAAGCTACAGGAGTGAGTTCAGTTATAGGCCTGAAGGCTACCTAAGGACCATAGTTTCAGGGGTCTTATCAGGCTCTTATCATACCAGTAAACCTGGTCTTTTTTATGATTTTTGAGTTTTATTCCACATTGTTCTCCCACTCTCCAGGATTTCTTGCACTGATCCCTTTCCATGTGGTTGACAGTGGTAGCCAGGTACCATCTAGTTCTTCTGGTCTCATGGTCATATAGGCTGAAGTTCACATGGTCTACAAGTCCCATAGACTAATTGTTTCCATGCATCTTTGGTTTTCTTCATTCTTATTTGCTCTGGACAAGGAGAGACCAGTTGTTTCATCTAGATGGCTTCTGGAAAGCTTTTTTTTTTTTAAATGCATTTTATTGAAATATAATTTATGTACAGTGAAATATACAAAGCTAAACTGACATAGGTCAATGCATTTTTTTTCCCCAGTGTTCTGTCCTCACCTCTCCCACCCCTGGCAACCAACAAAGAAAGTTTCCCTCCATATATAAACCTTTCCTTGACCCTCTGCAACAACAAACTAATACTATATTTGTCCTGTGATTGATTTATTTCACTCAGCATAATGTCCTCCAAGTTTATCCATGTTATGCAGTGTTTTGCAGACTCTACATTATTCTTTAGTGCTGCATAGCATTCCATTGTGTGTACCATAGTTTGGTCATCTACTCTTCCATAGATGGGCACATAGCTTGTTCCCATCTTTTTGCTATTGTAAATAGTGCTACAATGAATGTGGGTATGCATATATCTGTTCCTCTCCTGGCTTTCACCTCTCTAGGATATATACCTAGTAAAGAGATTGCTAGGTCAAATGGTATCTCCAATTCCAGCTTTCTGAGGAATTGCTATACTACTTTCCACACTTCACAGTCCGTCCCATCAGCAGTGTATGAGACTCCCTATCTCTTCACATCCTGGCCAGCATTTGTTATTTTCTGTCTCATTGAACCTTGCCATCAGTGCTGGGGTGAGATGGTATCTCATTGTTGTTTTGATTTGCGTCTCTCTGGTGACCAGTGATTGTGAGCATCTCGTATTAGCTGGCCACCTGAATATCCTCCTTGGTGAAGTGTCTATTCATGTCTTCTGCCCATTTTTTGATTGGATTGTTAACTCCTTTGCTTTTGAACTGTTGGAGTTTTCTATAAATCTTAGAGATAAGTCCCTTGCCAGATATGTAATTATCGACAAGTATGAATTTGTTGCTGTCATTTTTGTTATATACTTTATCATGGTGTTGATTTCTTTGGGCATATAATTTTCTATGCTGAGCTCGTTTTGTTTTCTATGCTGAGCTTGTAGTGTTATCACTTCCTTCATTGCTGTTGTTTTAGTATTTGCTAAATATTTGTGCTGGTTTTCTTTTTTATCTTAATGTGAAGGTTTATCATTTTTCTTTGAAGTTACCTGTGATTTATAGTTTTCTTTTCAAGTTTAGAACAGTCTGTTCTATTTTGTGGTTGTCTTGACTTCCCTATCCTTTATAAGTTCTATAACTACACAATTTTTCCCTCTTTTTGGTTTGTAGTTTTCCTCATTTGTCAATTGATGTCTCTGATTCTCTGTTTACAATCTTGTAGGCTTATTTACTTTGAATACTTCCATAGCTGGGTTGGTTTCTGAATTATATATATCATCATGTGTGTTAATGGTCAGTTGTTGGCTGTTGTTGCTTCTCTGTCCAAAGGGCTCCCTTTAGAATCTCCTGTAAGGTTGGTCTGGTTTTAACAAATTCCCTTAATTTCTGCTTATCTAGAAATGTCCTAATTT